ATAGACGCACATAAATCAGAAATCATATCCCACTAAAGTAGGAAGCTAAAAATGCTGAAGTTTGAGTAAATTTAACATAAGATTGTTAAACAACCTATTAAAAATAAACAATAAAATCAAGAATAGGAAACCACAAAAACTATGCCCACAACATCTTCGATATGAAATTCTGCTTAACTAATAACTCATTTAAGCCAAGTAGACATAATTAACTCTTCTAAAGTAGGTTCATTCTCCGTTATCATTTCTAAATTACTTTGATTCATTTCATAGTCTCTGCTTGCCTCTAATATCCGCTCTCATCCCTGAGGATTGTTATATAAGAAAGCTGGTCATTTCTGAGTTAACTCCTCATCATTGTTGAAGTACTTCATAGCACAAGCCATTTCTTATTACATTGCCTTTGTGATATGCACTGTTTCCAAAATGCTGGGCGTTGTTTTGTATGGTTGAACCACTTCTACCTTTATTTCCCTTAATTTGGATAGTGTCGGGAGCTTCAGGAAAATACTTTGTAATTTTTGTGGACAGTTTTTATTAAGAAGTGAAAGAATGAGCTCTTTTAAGTCACCTGAACCAATTGCTCTGCAAGCTTTTTTTGTTTGCTTTTTGTTAATTGAATGTTTGTCTGCCGCATGCTGCTGTCTAAAATGGTTTTATTTACAGCATCGCTAGTGTTGATTTGCTTTAGTTTCTTTCACATGAGTAATGTCCTAAATGTGTCCTACCTTTACATTCTCAAGAGATAAATGAGGATAGGGAGAATGAGAGTGAAGACAAGGCGTAAGTGGACTAGTGGACAATGCTGTTTCAGCTGATGGTGTTCTGGTCATAAATAACAATGGAAGTTTAAAAAAAAAAAAAAAAAAGGCTACCGATGGCATGAGAGCATTATCACCCTTAGCCACTGTTGATATTGTTGGAATTCTGAGATTGATGAACACTGGTTAGTTTATTTGCCCTCACCCCTTTTGTTTCTATTCTTGGTAGAATAATCTCCCGATCAGTCTTCTTATGACCATCTAATTGAAAGATAATAGCTTTTTCACTTATTATAGCTCTGAAATCTATATTTCGTATTGGTTGTCATTCCAGTAGACAATGGATAACCCCGTCTATAGCCGGACTCAACCTTGGCCATACCTTTTGAGGTCTTTGTTAAGTGCTTTGGTCTATTGTTAATCTCGAGCATACCAGCATTTTCCACAAACCATTACCAATTCATTATCGTTCTGCATATGTTAGCTGTATGGCTACCTTGAATGAGATGTTTAGAAACACTTCAGCTACTTCTGCAAGATACTTGACACTCTATCAGCCAAACTGCGTTGTTTGGCACTGTAAGTCCCTTTTCCTTTTCTTGAGGGGAAAATGTCAAATACATTTTTTATCCCATATTTATTTTTCCGGTGAAATTTGATGCCTTAACTTAGCCTGGAGTTTTATTTTATCTCTTAACTTTCATTTGTTCCACTTTTAGCCCCTAACTTTCCAAAACCATTTAAATTTTTATTGTCCTCGAGACTTATAAAGAAAACACCAAGATCTCTTGTGGGTAGCCCATGAACATTCCCCGGCAAATCACTGCTATGTCAATCCATCTCGTAAAAAAAAAAAAAATCTGCACATTGTGTTCATTTCTCCTCAACGGATTTGTCCTAAATCACTGCATCCCTTCTGAACATTCACCCCAAAATTAGGAAGGTTAGGATCCTTGTTTCTTGCAGCGCTCATTGAAATATTGCTTCTCACTCCAAGAATTGAAACCTGAGTTTCATTGTAATTTAATGCAGAGGAGTTTCATGCCCTTTCACACTCAAATTGACTCGTATTTGTCTTTCACAGAATCTTTGGTCAGTTATGGAACAGTTGTGCTAGGAAAATTAGGAGCAAGCAAACGAATGGTTGATTGAGGGCAATTCAATGACGTGTATTGGTAGTCTGTTACTTTACTAAATCGATTTGCTGATGATCCTCAGAATTGCAACAAGTGGCAACTAGGATAATGATTCAGAGTGTACATATAAAACAAATCATCGAGTTTTCTTATGGATCAGGGCTTGGTACAATCTGCTGGCTTGAAGGAAAGAAGATTCTTCTGAAGGTCATACCCAACTTTTGAGACGGCAATGCTTTCACCACTTCAATAGGTCATATTAAGCTTGATCCAGCTGTTATGTGCTACATTTCTTTTTTAATTGCATGGATGTTACACACATGTCCAGCTCCTGCAATTTCATGTGAACATGGTTTTTATAATTACTTATCTTCACTATGTTACTTATAAGTGCCAACCTCATGAATCATTGAGATTCATTTTATGGTTTGTCCTAAATTTGCATAGCTCAAGCTGAACATTTGATCTGCATTTTTTATTGCTGACTTGAAAAGGTCAACAACAAATCTTCTTGAATTTCTTCAGGCCAAGTTTTTCTTCAGTCAGAAGCAATAACGAATTTGTCAGATACATGGTATCCAATCTCTGGAATCTTCTATTCTAATCTTTTTTCATAACTTTACTCACCGAGAAGAGGACAAAATCTTACTGGTAAAATTTTCCCACTGTTTACCATTAGGTTTTCCAATAACAATAGACCGGAAGAAAGTTTCTTAATAACTAATTCTTTCAATGAAGAAGAGGAAAAAACGACTGACATTGTCATAGTTTTATAAGGAAACTTGATAGGAAAACCTTATACCTATATCTAAGTTTCCTTTTTTTAATATAATAAATTATGTGGACATTTCTTGTTTAGGAACATCTTGCTTGAATACTCTTCTGTGGAGCCTTTTGGGTTAATATGATAAACGATGGTTAGATTGCACTTAGCACCTGCAAAAACTTTAGTAAGATCATCGTGATTGGGAAATTCTCCCTTTCCTTTCTGTCCGTCTACTTTTCCATCTCTATCTTCTTCTTCAGCATATAGAATGGAATGATAAAGATTAAACTTTATATGCGATGGCTACCCAAACCCCAAGATTCTGTAATTGCAAAATACAATCATCATGCGTACTTTACAGTAACATTATTCACTCATCCAGTTGTTAGGTAAGGTTCTGGTCCATTGAAGTTCTGGTCTATGGACAAGTTTATGCTTCCGTAGTTCTGAAACAATGCAAGATACTGTTCACGTCATGCCAACTTGCCAAGTGGTTGTTGCCATCTCAGCACTTTTCTAGGCATGAGTCCTGGTTTTTCGCCTCCAGCTTTTGATTCATGTATTTTCTACCAATTGCAGGGTGATCTTTATTGTTTCCTTCCAAAGTGCCTCTTCAGTCTCCTCCATGAGTAAATTATTCTTGTGATGCTACTTCACTTTTACAGACCCTGAAGGGCATGCAGAATTGAATGAGAAAATAAAAAGGAGTGCTTTTGCAGATCATATACACACGTTGATCAGATTCTTCGTTGAATATGCTTTACAACTTGTTGCAGGTTGGCAGTGGGCCATAAACAGGTAGCCCCAGGGGACCAGGTGCCTCAAATGCTGTGTTTTCTCATTCTTTTCTTTCCTCTTTTTTTTTTTTTTTCTATGGGTTGGTTTTGGTGGTGAAAATAAATAAAAATAATGAATAGTATTATGCTTACAATAATGGTAGTTTAGCACTAATATAAGAATGTTGGTTACAAATTTATAGTCTGCCTTGCATGTTCTTGTCCGTTTCTCTCCATTTCTTGTGATTAGCTAAATACCTTTTCACATTCTTAATCAATCCAAAGCTCATGCTCATTAAAGAATGTCCCAATCATAGCCAATCATTTGGTTACCTTTTTATTAGAGCATTATTTTTGGGAAACATAAAGGTGGTCGGAGACCTAAAAGACCAGAATACTAGCAAAATTGTTGTGAACTGCTAAAACTCTGGTTAATTATTTAAGAGAATCACAAGCATCTCTTTGCAATTTGTATGTATTATATATATATATATATATATATATATATATTTCCTTCTTAAAGCTAACCCTCTTGTATCAGATATGCGAACTGAGCTGGCATTCAAAGAAAGATTGCGTATTCCCTGAGGATGTGGGGTTTCTCTGTATACGCGTTTTGCAGCGAATCAAATTTGTCACGGTTAGTTTCATCAACACAACTACTATATTGTTTGTTCTAACGTGCCGACAAGTTCATGGGTTAAGTGGTTGTGTTCTTGTGTGTGTGTGTCTCTATATATATATATATATATATAGTTTTAGTGTCATCCATGTATGTATCTCTGTTGCTTTCTCTATCTACATTTCACATGAGATAAGAACAGAGCATTAAAAAGGGGGCGGCAAAGGTGAAGTGGGGAGTTGGTGGGTCTCATGTTCAGGTGATAACTACAGTTTTAAGTTTTGAACTTGCTCGCCTACTTGCTGAATCTCTATTCTTTCGGTGAAGATCTTCCAGATTAAATTAACAATCCGGCGTGCATTGAAATGTATTATATATAATATTCCTCTAATGATTGATCATTGGATAATATAATTCGCATTTTCTCCTCGTTGGTTTCCATTGTCCATGGATTATATAGACCAGATACACTGTACGTGTCCCAAAAATTCTTCTCTGCTGAGCTATTTGGATGTTGATTGTTGGATAGAGGAAGCGTAATTTTATTCCTGAAAAGGCGCCATGCTCCTTCCTTGTAATGGAGGTCACAAGCTCGATCCCCGGCAAGCATTTCGCTTGCTTACTTGAAAAGAAGAGTATTTGATTTCCAAGTTCTTGATGCCTTTATTGGGAACTAATAACTAATACTCCTCCGGTCCTAAATATAGGACCCAATTGTTGAGTTGGTTTTGGTCCTAAATATAAGACCCATTTATCATATTTTTTAATTTTCTCTAAATTACCTCTATGGATACTCCTTTAACCATAATCAAGTAGAAGAGAAATAGGGGGTATTAAGAAAGATGATTATGGTATTTTAGGAAAAATGTGTCACATTTTTTATAATTACCTAACTTACCTAACTTCCTTAATCTAATCAAATTAGTTAAATGGGTCTTATATTAAGGACCGGAGGAGTAATGACAAATCTTTATCTCACTAAGTAAGTTCGGTTATGTGAGTAGTACAACTTTAATTGGTGATATCAATAACCCAATTTTTGAATTAATCATTAATTGAAAATTTCAACTTCATATTGAATACCCACTGAGTTAGATATTCATGTTTAATAAGAGGATATCTGTGTTTAGCAAAATTATTAAAAAAAAAAAAAGGTACTAAATTGCATATCATGTACTTTTAACCCACGGTGGTCAAGTTGTGTGGAAAGAACTTGATTGATTGTTTGAACTTTACAATGAAAAAAAGTATATCAAAAGAGTTATTTTCAATTAGATCTGAGGGTGTATGAATCCAATCCAGTAATACCAAATGTCAATTGAATTATGTATATAATACGATTTGAGAGTAGTGGTTAATATATTATGCAGAAGAAAGAGAATAAGATACAGTAAATGGGGCAGTGATTTTGGCAAGTGAGAGAGACCAAAGCCACAAAGGAAGGAAAAACGTTGGTGCTTTGTAAAGAGAGGGAAGACACGATCTTATCTTTATTGGGGCACTTGGTTCCTGATAATGATGTTTTTAGAACCAAGCACATGGCACCACACGGGTAAGTTCAGTTCTTGACAAGGGACGCCTCCTAAAGCTTAATTTTTTTTTATATAATTCATTATTTTTTTCTTTCCAGTATTTAAACCGAACCCTCAATCTTGTACTAATTTTATTTTTTTCCCCCTCAGTACAGGTATTCTCTTGTTGAAGGTAGTACTGTTTGAGTCGCTGTCAAACATTAAATGTAGATATCTCTCTCAGTAAGGATTCGAATATTGATTTGTCATGTTGTGAAGAACTAGTTCCTTTTATTAAACCTATCGTCTATTAGTTTGTCCAAATTTTACTGTCAATTCAATGTTGTTGTGTTTGTCTTTAAAGAGACAAATATAGCCCTGGCTCTCAAGGCATTCGTAGCCACGAGACAATAGTGTCACCGTTATTCACAGGTTAGTGTGCGCATGTTACCCATATTAATGTCAAGAGCCTTCAACTTAAATAGGAGAGGTTGTGGGATTAAACCTCAAATAAATAGGTGGAAGCCTGAAAAGAAATTTAATTAAAATTCCCGCAAATAATCATATGTGTGTGTGTGTGTATCAAAACTCTTATTTAAACACATAAAGAAAGGAAATATCAGAGTTGAAGCAGCCATAGACTCCTATAGTTATTTTGCTAAATAGATCATATTATAGTATATTTATTTGTATGTATATGTATACTGGTTTTACTCAAAGTCTAACGATTTATTTTATATTTGTCATCCAAAACTATTTCTTATCTTCAGAGAAATTTTAGGGTGAGTCAAAATAAGGGGGGGAAAATCGGATCTATGGATGACATTTTAAGAGGGTTTTATAAGGAATTCATATATATCTATGTACGTTATAACAGTTTTTCCCCGAAAATACTAAAATAATCTAATTTAACTCCTAATCTTAACTCATTGTCTGGTTCTTTGATATGAGAGGAGCTGAGAGAAATTTTAATGAGTTGGATTTAATAAAAATATAGAAGTGGGGTTAAAAATTTTTATTTTTTTAATTAATCTTTTCTCATATACCTTCTCTTTATTAAAATTTTATAATCTCATTTCTCCAATTTTTTTAAAAATTGGACTCGTTAAAAAAATTTTTATCACATCTCCTCCATCTTCCACGCGCCAAACACAATGAATTGGCATGGTTACACATTGTTAGAATTGACCAAATTATGATAAATTTTGAAGTTTCGTCTGCGTCTTGTGTTTGCCTGTGTTGGTCATGTGTCTCACTTCGGTTTCTTCCTCGTCTTTCTTGAGGGTACAATCTTCAAAGCCTTATCTCTTCTGATGGATTAATTTTACAGTTTTTTTATTTTTTGACACAAAAAAAAAAACTACAATTCCTGAGATATCAACAAAACTATATTCTTTTCGCCATATCCACCACAAAGTTCAGGTTTGAACTATAAGGTGGTGGTGACCATTCGTTCTCCTGAGCAATCTCTTATATTGTTAAGTCACAATTTTCTCAGGAAACAAACAAGCAAATGCCAGAAAAGGTTGAGTTTATTAATGACTCTCGTAGCTTCTCACAATTGTCTTTTCCACTTGGTTCATCTGTAGCTTCTCATAGAAAAAGCCAATTGGAAAAACCAATCTACTAGTAATTCCAATTTTACTTTATTTTTAATTAGTTTTTTATTTTTATTTCCTATTTGTTGGTGTTATTGTGAAATACTACTACTGATCTTTAATATAAGATATCGTTTGACTTTTGTTTTGGTTCTAAATATGAGATCTCGGTTCATTTTATCTATCATATTTATGAATTTTTTCTCAAAATAGTCTTTATAATAATATTAGTTCTAACCAATACACTTGATTAGTGAGGATATTTTAAGAAAATTATACTTATTTATTATAAATAACTAACTTAACTTATTTTTTTAATCTTCTTAAATTAGTCAACTAATTTATATAATTGACACTGGAGGTAGTAGTTCTTAGAAACAACTCAGGTTGACCATTTCCTTGTAAGTGCTGCCGCGAACACTTTCTACCGGTCATCTGAAACTACAAAGGACTACAAAGGATCGAATTAAAATTTAGATAAAATTATAAGAACATAATTAAAAATTAAAAAAATTATTAGAACCCTAAAAATAATGTAAAATTATAAAAACTTATCGATTAATTTTCGAGCCAATACATAAGGTTTAGGAGGAAGACAGATCAGAGACACATCACACGACATATAAAATAGTCTAATTATTTTAAAGGCATGCAGGCTTCTGTGAAAAATATTAATTAATTAAAGTAAATAAATTTCTGGGACGGAATAGACCAGCGGCATGAGAACCATTGCTTTCAATATAATTATTTTGAGAATTTTGGGTATTAATTGGATGCAATGTACTCCTCCGGTCCTAATTATAAGACCCAATTGACTTATTTGAGGAGATTAAGGAAGTAAGTTAAGTTGGTTATTTATAATAAATAAGTGTTATTATTCCTAAAATATCCTTGCTAATTAAGTATATTGGCTAAAACTATCATTATTAGAAGGATTATCTTGGAAAAAAATGCAAAATATAAGAGAGAAAATGGATTGGGTCTTATAATTAGGACCAAATAAAAAGTCAAATTGGGTCTTATAATAAGGACCGGAGGAGTATATAATTTTGAAGCCTTGGCTTTGGTGGTGATTCAGATAAGTTTGTGAAGAGAAGAACACACACGGAAAGTCAAGGGAATAATTATTATTATTATTATTATTATTCAAAACCTTGAAGACCAAACGTTCATATTATAAATTGTTTGAAGATTCAACTAAAAGAAAATTAAAAAAAAAAAGAGGAAAGAATAAGAAGAACAATTTGAAGAAGAAAACGACCTTAGAGTGTGGGTTGCATGAAGAGAATATTGAACAAATTATTGGGAGAAACTTCCTTTTTTCCATGTATATGCATCAATATATGCTCTATATAAAAAATAAAAATAAAAATTGACCTTTTCTCAAAGTCATGAATATTTCTTATTATAAGAATAAACAAAGTTTCTAATAGATGGTTTGTCTTCTTGCTTAGACAACGCTTACAAGAATATTTACATATTATCTATTAACGAAATTTTCGTATCAATTGCAGGCTTTGAATTTATATTTCGTGGGATATGAGGTTATTATTATTTTTTCAAATAATCTAAACATCTATAATACTCTCTATATGATAAGTTTAAACTCACAATCTCACGCTTAAAGAAAAAATTTAAAGGAAACATTTAGTGCCATTAAGTTATGAGCCAATGAGAGCCCACGCACCACAGTATATGAATCATATTCTTAGTCAGCTCCTAATTTTCTTGAAAGCTAAGCTATACAGCCCCCTCACTTTGATATAAGAAAATATGTTTATTTAAAATAATAATCACGCTTCTTATTAATTAAAAGATGGGGAAATTATATTTAATTAATAGTAGTCCAAAACTAAAATTGTGTTCTACCAAAAATACAAATTTAGATCGCTTTCGAAATCATACATTGAAGAAGTATTTTTAAAATAAAAGAAAGATAGAAAAAGTAGAAGGAAAGAAAATAATCTCATACTTTTTTTAGGAAAATGACAGAAAAATATTTTTAAATGATAAATAGGTGATTTTGATAGATTTTACTCCTCCGGTCCTTAATATAAGACTCATTTAACTAATTTGATTAGATTAAGGAAGTTAGGTAAATTAGTTAATTATAAAGAATGTGACATGTTTTTCCTAAAACACCATAATCATTTTTCTTAATACCCCTCTCCCTCTTTTACTTGATTATAATTGAGTGGGTATTTATAGGGGTAATTTAGAGAAAACTGATAAATATGAGAAATAGGTCTTATATTTAGGACCAAAATTAACTCAACAATTGGGTCCTATATTAAGGACCGGAGGAGTAACTTATAAAAATCATTGCAAGAATAGTCTGCATGACTTATTTATCTTTTTAAAATTTAACAGTTATTTTTCTATTATTTTCTTATACTAGAAGTATTTTTTAGTCAACAAGAACTTTTTTTTATTTTAGACG